AGGTTTCCCAATGGTTCTCCAACCGATGTCAGCTCATGATGTAAACTTCCAACCAATCAAAAAAACAACAAAATCCCTACAAAAACCATTATTCTTAAAGTTGACCAAAAATAGACTTAAAAGTACTTTTTCAGTAGGTGACGAATACACGTACACACACACGCGCGAACACACGAATACTCAGTGATTTCATCAAATTCGACCTCCATTGGTTTTAAACCTTTCATTTATCTAGATATGTTTCATAAATGTCATAGAAAATCACATGCATTAATTATTAGCCCTGAATAACTCACTTTCACCACCTTAACTGACTGACTGATTGATTGAACAAAGAGTTCTACCCACCCATTTCATCAATAAAATCTTGATAATGTGAGAAGAATAACCAAGGGAATTGACTCGAAATAGATTTATGATTACTTATATAAGTACACTTTTCTATCTCCTTCGCATAATAATAATTATCATTATCAGTAATATTTACTAAATCCAATGGAGGGCGTTTAGTGAGAATGCCAGTAATAATAATAATAATAATAATAGGATAATTAGAGTGATAAATTCCCTAGAGAGGAGAATTATTATTTATTTTAAGCATTTCGTACAATGAATCGAGAAACTTATTATTATTGCTCCTACTGTATCAAGACGTGACTTTTATATGGGATCAGTCTACTCGATATTATTACTTTATTTATTTTATTCTTTTACGTTCCCAGTGGAGCATAGGGCTTCAAGTTAGAGGCTTGAAATTCCAGTAGCAGTAGTGTTTTTATTTGCAATTAGTAGTGTTCTCTGAGCTGGTTGGTTTAGTTGCGGAGTACTCCAGAGCAAAATGCATTGAAGAAAGTGAAGAATAGAAAAGATAGAGTTATTCTGCCGGCTCACAAAGGAAGAAAAACAACAGTAATCCTGGACACAGAAGACTACATAAAGAAAGTAGAAGATTTACTCAAAGATAATAATGTATATCAACAGTTGACGAAAAACCCTATACAAACATTAGATAAAAAAAGTTGAAATAACGTTAAATAAACTAAAGAAATCAGGACAATTTACAAAACAAGATCAATGGCGAATGAGATCTAATGGACCTATTTTACATCGATTCTGTGGTAGACCAAAACTACACAAACCAAACATTCTCTTACGAACAATAGTTTCGCTTCCAAGAACACCAACATATAATCTATCTAAAGAACTTTTCAGGAAATTAAATTACCTAACAGAATCATGAGACCATTCTATCAATTCGTCAATCCAATTTTTAGAGAAAATCAAAAAACATTCAAGTGGATGACAATGAAATAATGGCGTCCTTTTGATTTCACAGCATTATATATACTTCAATTAGTCCAAAACCAGCAACAGAAACTATGCAACAATTACTCTGTAGTGATGAAAACATAAAAACGCAATGTTCAACTTGAATAGAACTCATAGAATTATGTCTTACAACATACTTCCAATTCACTAATCAAATATACGAACAGATAAAAGGAACACCAATGGGATCACCCTATCAGGATTAATAGCTGAAGCCGTTATGCAAAGATTAGAATTAATAGCTCTACCTATAATTAAACCAAAAGTTTGTAATAATTAAAAGAAATTTGATCTGGAATATACCCATAAATTAATAAACAACATATTTGAAGACATCAAATTCACAAGAGAAGAAGAATTAGATAACAAAATCCCATTTATAGATGTCTTAATCAGGAGAACTAACACAGGAAATGTATAAACAAAACTATGTAGAAAATCAACGCACATAGATCAAGTACTCAACTATAGTAGCAATAACCCAATGACCCACAAAAGAAACTGTGTGCAGATACTGTTTAATAGAGTTCAAACACACTGTAGCACTCCAGCGTTGAGAAGAATTGAAGAAAAATACCTACTAACTGTTTTCAAAAAGAATGGATATCCTCAAAATTTCACCAAATAGTGTTTGAAATCGAGTCACAACACAAACAAGAAACCATCATCAAAGACCACAAGAAAATTCATTCTACCATGTATAAAAAAATATCTCTGAAATAACATCTAGAATATTGAAACCGTTTGATATAGATGTAGCACACAAGCTGGCCCTATCACTTCATTTGATATTATGCAAACCGAAAGATCCAACAGGAAAAGGAAATAAAATTAATACCAATTACAAAATAAATTGTATGAACTGTAACAGACATTACATCGGCCAAAGTGGGCATCCCCTTCGAATCAGAGTCCAGGAACACAAATCAGCTATAAAAAGACATGATATGTATTCTTTCATATCAATGCATATAGATAATTATGGACATCAGTTTGATTGGGATAATGTCGAAGTTTTAAACAGAGGAAACACCAAAAGTGTCAGAAAATTCCTGGAAACCTGGTACTCAAACAAATATGCAATTAACAAACAAGTTAATATAGACCAAATCTACCAACTAATAAAAGGTAAATCATGTGACCAGAAAGTTTAAAATCCAAGTCAATAAAAATTGATCAATAAATATGTAAAGATGGTTACCAGGAGACGCAATTCTACCACTGATTGAAAATTTAAATCAATTCACTTCATGCTAAAAATTGCGCTGATGATGTTTTCCAGAAGGACGACGAAAGCTCCGCAATTAAACCAACCAGCTCAGAGAACACTACTAATTTCAAATCATCCATCTGAGCTACAAATCTTCTCTACTAATAGTGTTTTATTTTTAAAGGGTGGGATTGCTAGCCTGTTTCACGCCAAATCTTATTTCCTTACCGGTCTTATTATCAGCTTAGCGAGATTTAAGAGTGCGTCGGCCGAGGGTAGAAATCCCGGACTTTATGCGTGGTTGGCGAGCATTCTACTGCTAAGCCACCGACGCACTAGTAATACAGTATTATTAACTGGATGATGTTTCGAATACAGTTTAGTGCGCATAATCATTTGTCAGCTTTACTCTCTTCGGTTTCTTTTTGGTGCAATTTCCCATACATATTAGGGTTGGTGATCTGGAAAAATGTTCAACTGTTAGAACATATTCACTCGCATGTAATCGCTCAATACACAATGCAATGAAAAAAATAAGATGAATTAAGACTATAAAAATCAAATCAACAAGTTGTTGTGTTAATACCTTTGATATAATTAGTGTGAGGTGGTTAGAGTCAAACTGCAGGAAGTCCTCAATTTAGAGGTCTTGTGCTTGTTTACACTCCTTAGCAAAGCGTATCTGCACCACTAAAGGAAATGAGACTCGAACCCATGTCAACTATGGTTGCAGACGGATGTTGCTAATGAGCTGTTCGAACTCACTGCTGACTTTCCATAGGACTGTAATGGGCAGATTGATACGGTTATGAGCAATAAGCTGTGCTTGAATTGTCACCCAGTTATTACTACTGTACCACTGTGTGTTAAATCAATTAAACTTAAATCATATGAAATTTTACTCGACAAAAATGACCGAATTCTGATTTAGTAGTATGGAAGAAGTGTTGAAATTGGAAAAAAGGCATATATAGTTGTTTCATGATCTCGCTCTCTCTGGATTCAACATAGAACTTGGCACCGAAGTGCAGCAGTTCCAGTTGCCACGTTCCAAATAGCACACAAAAGTAGACAAGAAAATGAGTGAAGAGAATCAATAGAGTTTTGACAAGTATAAGAGTGAAACAGAATGAGTAATGGTAGAAAGGAATATGAAAGATTACAGAGACTGAATACATCTGCGTAAGCCATTGACAACGATTTTGAGCCATGTCATCTATTGTCTCCAGCCATTGATTCTTAGAGACCCGAGGACGGGCCCCAACCCGGAAGTCTGCATCTCCCTACCTGACTCAGTTTAACTGTCAGGGATTTCATGGATTGATGCCATGTTTTTGTTTGGCCACCACTTACTCTTTTGCAACCTGCACCTATATCAGCTAGTAGTGCCCGTCGGGGGAGGCGATGGTTAAGCATGCACAGCACGTGACCTAGCCATCTCAATCTACGTAAATTTATAGCCTCGTCGATTGATTTTCTCTCTTTGCCCAACACTCTACGCCTAACGTCAACATTGCTTACCTTATTATACCACCTGACTCGAGAAATAGATCGTAGACATCTATGATCAAAAACAGTCAACCTTTTCATGTCTTCAACTCGTGTTGGCCATGTTTCAGAGCCATAGAGAAGGACGGAGCGAAGTGCTGAGCAGTACACACGTCCCTTGGTTGATAGCCGGATGTCACGCCTACGCCAGAGATGGTGTAAGTTAGCGAAAGCAGCTCGTGCTTTTTGGATCCGTGCTGAGATTTCGTTGCCAATCAGTCTGTTTGTGCTGTTTCATGATAAAACTATCTGGGCTAATTGTTCTGATTCATTCAGTGAGTAGCAAGAACGAATTTTTTTATTTTCTAAATTATTTTTCGGTTGGTTAATCCTACATCCATCCACTTACCAATTTTATCCAATTTCAGTTAACATTTCTCATCAACGAGGGCAGTGGCTCAATATGCGTAACAAATTTCCTAGTCATTTCAGTCGAAGAATATTCACAACATTGTTGATCGACTTTCTCTGCCTTCCTTCTTACATAACAGTTTATGACTAACCTCATTATTACCAACTGTAGTATTGCATCATCCAACACGAGAGTATAAAAGTAGGTATTCAGAGTCAAAACCGCTTTCGACAGCCATTCTTAGAAGCCGTAAAAAAGACAGAATAAACTGTTGCTCATGACACACACATCCTCTCGATAGATAGGCGGAAATCACGTATACACCAACAACGATGCGCACTTCAGGTGGGTCTTTCGTGTCTATGTTGAGGTCTCATCAGTAATCAGTCTATTCAGGCTGATATGATCCTTCAAAATAAATGAAATTATCAACACATTACACCGTTCCTCTTTATATCCTTCAAACAAGGAGTTACTCCGGTCAAATCTCTCCCTCACATGCAAAAAAAATAACCCAAAGTAAAGAAAATAAAAAAATATACATGACTGATGATAACTTACGATCTATTTCACCAGCATATACTTCACCATATAGCATAAAATATGGTTTAAGCATAATGCCTTTAATCGCTTCAAGATTAACATGTGTATGCCTTGGATACATAATTCCTTGACGTATTGTACCGAATGCCAATAATGGAAGGAATAATAAAGTAAGCATGGGAATCATTAAACGAACCTGTATGAATATGAATAAAATAATGGAGAAGTTTTTTGGTGAACAACACAAATATCCGTTACAATGCACAAATAAAAATACAAAGATTGGTAAACAAAAAGAACGGTTGAGTATATATAATTTTCACCAAAACGAATTCACCTCTCCTACTTGAATGGATGAAACAGAAGCGGTCAATTAAGACTTGAATATTCTCAGTGCATATAACAGTTCACCTGCTCGTGCGGAGCTAGGTACATAGGTCGTTGTATGCGCGTCCTTTCAAAACGTGTTAGAGAACATTACACAGCCTGGCTGCAAAAAGGAGGCACCGGTTCAATTAGAAGTGCCATTATTGAACATCTATCTTATCAACACCTCCCACAACATTTCAACTGATTCTTTCAAAGTAATTTACAAAGTCAACAGAAGCCTACCAAAAGCAGTTTGTTTCCGACTTCTCTGTACTGCAGAAGCCCTTGCAATATGCATCGAAAAGCCGGAGCTGTGTATTCAAAAGGAATTAGTCCAACCTCTACAACTACCATGGACCTAGTTCGGTATGTTACCTTAGTTTCTGTTGTTTTTTCTTCTTTCGTTCTCCTTTTTCTTTTTGATCCTTTTTCGTTCGCTATGTGTGTGATTATTAGTCCCTCAGTCTTTATTCGATTCACCCCATTTTTTTTCAGTTATAAAAACAGTTATTTTAAGTTTGTTTCCATGCTTTTCCTGTTCACATTTATAATTCGTTTAAAAAAAAATTAACAATTATATCTTAAACCTGTGCAATTTTTGTGTTTCTAAAGCTCTTGTAATCCATATTCACACCTCCTAAATTCCATTTCAAGTTAAAACTATTACATAGATTTTTGTTTCCATGCTCATTTTCTACACACCTGTAATTCGCTAAATCCCATGTAATTTTGTTTCTAAGGCTGTTGTAATCTATATTCGCACCTCCTGATTCCCATCTCAAGTTGAAAATTATTATTTCAATTTCCTTTTCATGCTCATTTTTACACACTTGATATCCGTTCTAATCCTGTGTAATTTTGTTTCTAAGCCTCTCGTAAAAACCATATCTAGTTGGAAATAATTATCACCTTTTACTAGCCGTCGTAATTATGTAGAATCAAACAAGAATTGTCTCCATGTAAAATTAGGTATTTAAATGCGATTGTACAGCTTTTGAAAATGAAATCGCCGAAAAGGCAGATATCTTTGCTGAACTTCGTGTTCTCTTCTTTCTAATTTCCATATGGGTATTCTCAGGTAGCTTAGAGGAATGTTTTAATCGTATCGGATATTACATTTGGCTGTTTTAAGGGTGTTTTATCGACTTCGTCTTGAGTTCGATCACGGACTGGTATCAGGGAGTACTGGACAGCTGTTTAGTCCTAGTTTGGGACTCTTTGGCAGCACGCATCCACCAGAACTCGAATCCAGGACCTTCCAGCTATAGGGCAAACTCTCAGGCGATTCAGACACTGGTATCCGACCCAACAGCCCATGAATCCCAACTTCTACCTATTCGTGATTTTAGCGAGACCACTATTCAGTGGCATGTGCGAATATTTAACACCACACCCAACCTACTAGACCACACTGGTCACGATTTACCATTAGAACTCCAAGCAGTTTCGCCCTGTAGCCAGTCATTTGTATCAATCCGTGATCATACTTGAAACCGATTAAATCTTTACAGGCTAACTCTTGAAGATCTTGTTTTACCCAGCTTCCATAGCTGTTGTGGCGTTTGCTGTACTATGTGCAAAAACACGTCTAACCGATCCACCCTTACCACAAAAGAAGAAGAATATTTTAAAACTTCATTCAATTTAAAATAAAGTTGTGAATTCGTTAGATTTCGGTGAAAAAAAAATTACACTGACATCCAGTCAGGTTATAAATTTCACGTGAATAAATCAAGGCGTATGTAACAATCAGATATGTCTTATCTCAAAAGAAGTAGAGTGTAGAGTAGAGTTCCATGTATCAATGCTCGTGTGCGTGTTTCTGCGGGTGTGGAAGTGGAATCGCGTAGAGAAAGACAACTAGTAGTATGAATAAATTGATGATATTCACAGTTGGAAGATAAATTAAATATGATAAAATTGCAGAAGCAATGGCAATTCACTTGCTAAGTCCTGAACTCTACATACAAAAGACGTTCGTACAATCACTACAATCTTTTGTAATGGACGTTATCTATCTTAATACCCAACAGGTAAATTCGATTTCTCTCTGTCTTTTCATGAGCATTATTTTGCCTTTTCAGTTTGTTATATTTTACTTTTTCAACTTCCCTGTTTTTTACCCCCACGCAATTTAATTTCTACACCTCATTATCACTGTTAATAACTTGACCAACGCTTAATTTCTAGTCATTTATATTACGTCATCCATCCAACTTATTTGCTCAATTTTAGTCCTAATATAAATGGCATTATTCTCTACCCTATCTCTACTTAGTCTCTAACTGTAATTACCTCCTTTGCTATTCTAACCTACTTTGAAACATTTTAGTTAATTACATTACGTCATCTAACTTACTAACTCAATCTTACTTTATCTGCTGTCTAATTAAACTTGTTTCTATATTAGATCATTCTTGTATTACCTAATTAATTATCTAAACTTGACAAACCTCATGTACACACACAAATGATTGTATATAAATGTGATTGTACAGCTATATGAATGAAATCGCCAAAAAGAGTCTCTTTGCTGAACGTCTTCTCTTTTTCATATGACTCAATGGAAATTTTTAAGCAACTTAAAATTTTGTATATTACTTTGAAGAACCTTTATTAGCCGACTGCTTTTTGGCTAGCTTAGAAAACAACCCCTTATCATCAACTATCAACGACCTCCATCTCTACAAGAGATACATCGATGATACTTTTATTATTTGTGATGAGAATTGTGATTTAAAAAACCTACTTCAAATCTTCAATAGCGCCCACCCAAACATCGACTTTACACTTGAGACTGAATCCGACAGAATGTTCCACTTCCCCGACGTCCAGCTGACAAGAAACGCCAACAACTCTCTGAAAAGATCCATATACTAAAAGCCTACTTGGAATGGACAATTCATCAACTTTCAAAGCTTCGTGCCCCTAAGCAGAAAGAGGAACCGATACACGCTCTTTCCTCGAGGATTCGGAAGATATGCAGCGAGGAAGTGATTGAAGAAGAACTGCGTAATCTCCGGAAAACCCTGATGGAAAACGGTTTCCCGCCCAGGTTCATAGATAAAAATCTCAAATCTAAGAAGACTTTAGAACAAGTCCAATCCGTTCCAAAGAAAATACTTCTGCTTAATCTAGAATTCAAAGGTGATATCGAAGCAGAAATCCTTCGCAAACGCCTCTGCAAATCTCTTAGGAAAACATACTTCGCCGCGAGCCTACGACTGACATTTTCTTGCAAGAAACTGTTCAGCCAGAACGTGAAAGACAAGCTGTCGCATTGGGCCACCTCAACGTGCATATAGCAGTTTACTTGCTCTTGTGGAGCTGAGTACATCGGCCGTACCATGCACCAACTTGGAAAACGCGCTCGCGAACACTACCCATCCTGGTTAGTAAAAGTAGACCGAAAACGTGTATACAGCTCAGTGACAGAACATCTGGTCAACTCAGGACATTCAGCGCCTTTCGAAAAATCCTTCAAAGTAATATACAAAATTCAGTCAAACCTATCAAAGGGAGTCAAATCAAGACATCTGGGCATAGCTGAGGCGCTAGCTATCCAAAAGCTCAAACCCACGCTTTGTATCCAAAAGAATTACGTCCAACTTAAAATTGTTTTAAACGATGAACATGTAGAAGTTCATTGATTAAAATACTTCCTTGTATATGTTGCGTGAGAATGTTTCAGTTAAAACTCAGTGGAGTGTGAAGGCAGTAGTTGAACTAGGCGCTTCCTGTTTGCATAACTCAAAATCAGGTCAAGATTTGACTAGCTGCTGGTAAGGATTCCAGCAGATAATCGTAAATGACTGATTTTTGTTAGTCTTGGTGAGATGGATTTGTATGAAGCTGTCAGCTGTCTCTATAATATGCCTTCGTTTATTTATACTGAACCATGTTGAGTGGGAGGAGAGAGACAGAGTAGAATTCCCAGAATAGAGGCAAAAGTTAATAGCCTCCCTTATTCAGTTTCAACCGGTACCATTGGAGCAGTTGAAATGATAAGTGTAGTAGAAAGCGGCTACTGAAAGTATGTTTATCACCTAATTTTGGTGTTGTGATTGGGGACATATTTAAAACTGGAATTATAATTTCCCCCGCATTAAATAATTGCTGTATAGACCAGCCTAGTTCATCGATTAATATATCATCAAGTGCCTGGTTCACACGGAATTGGATTGATTTTCAGTCAGATCACGAGGTGACATCAGTTGACCAGAACCACTGGAAACCAAGAAGCATTGGATAGCTGTTTCGTTCTAGTTTGGAACTGATCCCTCAGTAGTCTGCACCCATAACTCTAGACAAAATTCATAATATCCTGCATGATGAAGATATTTATCGGATGAAATTTATTTCCTCTGCATAGTTTGTACATAAACACTCTGCAGGAAGCTTCTTTTTGACACCATTGGAAAACCTGCCAGAGAGTACTGGACAGCTAGCTATTTTGTCCACCTAGTTTGGGACTCTTCAACAGTACGCACCCACTACAGTGGAGTTCGAACCCAGAACCTTATGGTTACGAGGCCAGGGAGCTCGTAGACCATTAAGCCACTGACACCCGATAATCCAATGGCCAGTCCATGAATTCTAACTTCTCTCAGTCGACGACATTGTGCGACCACTTCGCAATGACTTCTTCGATGAGTAACTGTCTCACTGGAATTCAGTAACCCGACATAGATTTCTTATGTACAAGGCTATGCGCCACTCGCACTGTGTAACAACGCATGATATACAACCCAGATTCCAAGCCGTAAGTAAGGGAGTTGAGTGAGAGTCTAGTGTTTTGAAGCCAATGAAACAAGTCTTCACAATTAT